AGCTGACGAGGAAACAACGAGGCAAGCGACCCTCCAAAATAGGGGGCCAATTGATTTCCTTTTGTTACTCCACAACCATTACTGTGAGGAGTTCGAGGGGCTCTGCTGCATGAACCTGTCGTCAAGAGCTGAGGACGCCAGACGCACCATCCGCCAGATGTCCAAGGACGTCGACAACATCCGACAACAGACCTCGGACTGGTTGGGGGACTTGCTATCTAAAATCGGAGTGGCGGGCTGGGTGGGCTCCATCATTCGCACCGTTTTAGTTGTTATCTTCATTCTACTCTGTTTAGTTTTCGGTTTCTGCATTATCTATAAGTTACTGACCAGAATTTTGTTTGCCACAACCCTCCAAATTAATCAAGTCGAGGCTCCCACTGACCCTGCTCCCATCCCTGAAGAACCTACCTGTGAGGAAGTGTGTTGGGAGCAGGCCCCTCAATTCTCCCTATGGTTTTCAGATACTATGTCAGTTCAAGAACAATTTCAGTTTTATTTTTGTTTTAAACAAAATGGGGAGATGTTGTGGTGCAGGGTTCATTTGGTTTGTTCTGTTTCCCCCTAAAGTTATAATGGTTCGGTCCTGGGATCCCCCTCTCCCCCTCCCCTGGAACCTCTCTCTCTGAGAGTGTCAATTCGTTCTCTCCTCCCCTGTTTCCCTGGTTACCTTCTGTCAATCCCTCCCCAAATTCCTGACCATCACTCACTGTCTCCTTCCCTCTTTCCAGAAAGTTCTCCCCTCTTCGGTGGGTGATTGGATCAGGAACAAGGGTCCCTCCCTATCACATTCCCTATTGGCTAGCCGGCATGTTTCTCACGAGTTTGTTCTCTCCCAAGTTCTCCCTCATTGGTTAATGTGTTGTATGTTCCGCCCCCTTTATAAACTGCTGTATTCCTGCCTCATGGTCCCTTCTTAGCTGGCTCCCCTGGAGACAGTAAAACTCTGTATTTTACCCCTGAGGAGGGTCCCTCTTTTCTTTCTTCCACTTCGCCTGCCTGCTGCTCACTGCTGCCCCTTGCTGAGGCACTTCCAGGACGCCCCCGGCGCATCTGGGAAGTGCCCCCCCCCAGGCTGTCAGCTGCTGTGCCTTCAGCTCAGCCGGTGCAACCTCCTCCCCTGCCCGGGGGAGTAGAGAGACTCTGACAGCAGCGCGGCAGTCATGGTCATGATGATTTCATGAGCATGGTCATCTCATGGCCATCTCATGGTCACAATCATCACATGGTCATGGTTGTCTCATTGTTATGGTCATCTGGTGGTCATTATTGTATCATGGCCATGGTTATCTCTTGCAAAAGAGATCTGAGCAAAAGCTCATCATGAGCTCATCTCATGGGGTCTTTATGACCCCATGGCCATGGTTAAGTCATGGTCACCTCATGACCTTGTTCACGTTATGGCTTTGTCATGGTCATGATATGGTCATGGTTATCTCATGGTCAACTCATGGCCACAGTCATGTCATGGTCATCTGATCACCATCATCTCATGTTTATGGTTGTCTCCTGATCACAATCATCTCATGCTCATGCTCATGGTCCTCTCATGGTCACCATCTCATGCTCATGGCTGTGTCAGGGTCATCTGACGGTCGCAGTCCTCTCACGGTCATGATCATCTCATGGCCATGGTCACAGTCACGGTCATCACACAGTCATCTCATGGTCAGCTCATGGCCACAATCATATCATGGTCATGTCAGGGTCACAGCTGAGTCATTGTCATGGCCATCTCATGGTCAGCTCATGGCCACAATCATATCATGGTCATGTCAGGGTCACAGCTGAGTCATTGTCACGGCCATCTCATGGTCATGGTCATGGTCATATCATGATCATGCATAGCAATGGGGAACAAGGACACATGGACGTCCTTGCTTGCTCCAAGAAGATTGTTTATTGTAACCAACCGAGCCTTTTTATACTTTAAACTTGACCCAAACTTTACTGAATTAAGCACACATTGGCTGCCTGTCACTGTGGTGTAGCTATTGACGTGTCCCTTTACCCAATCAGCTCTCTGATCATGTGGTGTCTATGAGTCTCCCCAGCCAATCCCTGCCTTACACATGAGGTGACCACCAACCCACTCTCTGGCCATCAACCTGCAGCTGTACCTTCCCAGAGTGAGACTTTAGGTGAACAGAAGTGAACAGGATTGAGCAAAAGTGGAAAAGGTCCTTATTCTGTAAGGCTTTTCTTATTTCTCACAGTTATTGTCATCATCATCATCATCTTATGGTCATGGTCATCTCACAGTCACCTCATGATCACAATCGTCTCACAGTCACAGTTGTGCCATGATCATTTCATGGTCTTGATCAGAGCCATGGTGTGTTGTGGTCATCTCATAGTCACCTCTTTGTCAAGAGCATGTCATGGTCACAGTCATGGTCATCTCAAGGCCTTCATAATTTCATGGCCATGATGGTGTCATAGTCATCTCATGGTCATCCCATTGTCATGATCATCTTATGGTCACGGCCATCTCATGGTCATGGTCATTTCCTGATCACCATCATCTTATTCTCATGGTCACCTCACTGTAATGGTCATCTCATGATCATGTCATTGTCACTTCATCATCATCTCATGGCCACAATCACATCAGGGTCACCTCAAGGCCGTGGTTGTGCCATGGCCAACCCATGGTCATCTCTTGGTCCAAACCATCTCATGGTCAGGGTTGTGATTGTGTCATGGTCACAGTGATGGCCATGGTCATGGTCATCCCATGGTCATGGTCATCTCAGGGTTGTGTCACTCATGGTCACTCTCACGGCCATCTCATGCTCATGTCATGGCCGTGGTCATGGCCAGGGAACCCCTCCGAGATCCTGAGCCCTGATTTTGGGACACTCAAGGACCTCTGGGGACAACAAGGCCTGGTCTGACCCCTCCCCCCATCGCACTGCCCCTCCAGGAGCCTGACGCAGCCAAACCCTCCTGGGGACACTTTGGACATGGGACACAGAGCGGGAAATGAATCCCAGGCGATGGAGCTGAGTGTGGCTGGCAAGTCCCCATCCTTCTCCTGCTGCCCCTATCCCAGTTTCTGGTGTCCCCATCCCTGCTCCCAGTGTCTCCATCTCTGTCCCAGTGACCCCATTCCTGTTCCTGGCTCCCAGAGAAGAACTGCCACACACTGGAGGAGGGAACCCGGATTTATTGCCCCAAAGCAGGATATATTGCCCCAAGCAGGATTTATTGCCCAAAGCAGGATAATTTCACACCAGAAGTGAAGCATTGTGAATATCTGTGGTTCTTGCCTTTAAAGCATTGCAAAACAGGAAATAGATCCATTAGCAAGAGCAGTGGGGTGCGTGGGAGTAAGGGGATGAACTCTGCTGGCAGCTGTCAGCTTTCCTGGGAAGAGGGAAGGGGCTGGATCCAGCTCCATGGATTGCTCAGGTGGTGATTACTGCCAGGATGAGAGAGGGTCACGGTGTCACCCTGTCCCTGTCCCCATTCCACAGGATGGACCTGGCTGGAGCCCATGGACAGCAGGAGCTGCTCTCCTGATCCCACCCCAATCCTGCTGCAATCCTGCTCCATCCATCCCACCTGATCCCACTCCATCCACTCTGCCCCAACCCTGCTCCATCCATCCCACCCCATTCCACCCCATCCATCCTGCCCCAATCCTTCTCTGGAATCCCAACCTGATCCTGCTCCATTCCATCCCACCTGATTCTTGTCTGGAATCCAGCCCTGATCCCACTCCATCCATCCCACACCAATCCTGCTCCATCCATCCCTCCTGATCCTGCTCCAGGATCCAGCCCCAGTCCCACTCTACAATTCCACCTGATCCCACTCTGGACCCCGCTCTGATTCAGAATCCCTCCCTGATCCCAGTCCATCCATTCTGCCCCAATTTTCCTCTGGAATCCCACCTCGATCCTGCTCCCTACCTGTGCTCAGGCCATTGGTTCCCACGTTCTTTCCTGCAGAAAGAGAAGATCCATGAGATTCCACCATGGATCACACACCAGGATTAACCCCAGGATCCATCCTAGGATCTGCACAGAGGGGATCCAGAGCTGGATCCACCACTGGAACTCACCAGCTGCCGGGTTGTATCCTTTCCCGTCCCTCCTCCCTGTGGAAACAAAGTGGGATCAGCGTTGGTGGCACAGGATTCTCAGAATGGTGCCGGGTGGATCCGTGCCCCTTCCCGACCCCCATCCCGTGTGTTACCAGACTGGAGCCTCCAGACTCCGAATCCGATGAGGACGATGAGGATGAGGATGGCAGCGATGACGGACACAGTGACCAACACGGAGAGATTCCCACCAGATGTTGGCTCTGGGAAAACGGGATAGTGAGGAGGGGGAGGGGAATCCCTATTTGGGAATTCCAAATTCCCAATTCCCACACTCCCAGCCTCACCCCAAGCGAAGATCCCAGGCTCCAGCATTCCAGGATGCTCCACCCTGCACCGGTACTGTTCCCACTTCTCCGGCAGCGCCTCGATCCTGGCCCAGGTGTGGAAGGTGCCGTCGCTGTTGGGAACGATCCCGCCCCACTCCGGCCCCTGATCCAAGGTATCATTCCCCTTCATCCAGCTGACTACGATGGTGCTGGGATAGAATCCGTACGCGTGGCAGGAGAGGATCAGCGTCCCGTGTTCCTCTTTTCCGGACACATGGACATCAGGGGGCTATGGAATGGGATAATGGTGGAATTCATGCATGGAGTTCCATGGGAATGGGACTGGGGTGAGATCTGCCCATGGAATTCCCATTGGAATAGGATGAGAGTGATATCTACCCATGGAATTCCCACTGGAATGGGATGGGGGCAAGATCTACCCATGAAATTCCCACAGGAATTACTGTGTTCCCAAGTCCTCCATTCTCAAATCCCAAATTCCCACAGGAATTCTGCTCCCACCTTTGTGCTCCAGCTCCTTCTGCCCATATCCAACGTATTTCTGGAGCCATTCCGGGCAGACGTGACCCAGGTAATTCATCCAGCCCTCAGCCACGGTCCCTTCCTGTTCCCAGCGCCTCCTGGTGATCTCTGCAGCGCTGTCGGCCGCCACGAATCTCCCAGATCCCAGGTCAAAGGAGATGAAATCCCGCCCGTTGTAGCCCTCCCAGAAGGATCCACGGACCCTCCCGTCGGACAGGAGGTCACAGCCACTGTATGGTGTGGAGACCTGGGGGGATTGTACCCACAGAGCCCCATGGAATTGTGTCCCAGCCCCACAGAGCCCCATTCCAGCCCTATGGAGCCCTGTGGATCCACATCCCAACTCCATGGATCCCAACCCAGCCCCACAGATCCCATCCCAGCCCCACGGATCACAAGACATTCTATTCCAGCCTAATGGATCCCTGTTTCAGCCCTTTGGAGCCCTGTGAATGCGCACCTGAGTCCTACAGATCCTACCCCAGCCCCATGGATCCTCACCCCAGCCCCACAGTTTCCATCCCAGCCCCACAGATCCCATGCCAACCCCATGGATCACAACTCAAGCCCACAGATCCCATCCCAGCCCTATGGATCCCCTTCCTAACCCCATGGATCCCCATCTTAGCCCTGTAGTTCCCATCCCAGCTGCATGGATCAAATCCCAGCCCCACAGATCACATTCCAGCCCCACGGATCCACATCCCCACCTGTGGATCACAAGATATCCCATCCCAGCCTCATGGATCCCCATTTCAGCCTCTCACATCCCTAGATATCTGCGTTGGAGATCTACAGTTCCCATCCCAGCCCCATGGATCCCCACGCAGCTCTGCAGTTCCCATTCCAGCCCTACAGTTCCCATCCCAGCCCCATGGATCCCCATTCCAGCCCCCCAGATCCCACCCCAACCCCACAGATCCCATCCCAGCCCCATGGATCCCCATTCCAGCCCCCCAGATCCCACCCCAACCCCACAGATCCCATCCCAGCCACACACTCCCCCCACTCACCCCTGCTCTGGTTGTACCGCTCCCGCAGTGTCTCCAGGTTCCTGGCAGCCACGTGCTCGTTCTCCACAGCAATCTGGGTCTGCTCCTCCCAATATTCCGGCCCTTCTCCATCCTTTATCCACTGCGTCAGCAGCTCCGCCCAGCCCCACTCGCTGTCGTAGCGCGTGAAGGGGATCTCATCCACGAACCCAGTGATCATGAACTGGGGGACCCCCGGGATGGGCTCTGACACTGCCACAGTCAGGTAACGCAGGGAGTGGGGAACTGTGGGGACACAGAGATTTGGGGGGGTTGAGGGGATCATGGATCAATGAAAGGGGAACTGGGAGAGCTGGGAAGGGGTTTGGGGATCCTGGGGCTGAGGAAAGGGTGTGCAGGGTGGGAGAGGTGGGATAGACAGGAGAGGGCCTGCAGGGGGGTCCTGGTGTCCAGGAATGGGAGCTCAGGAGGTTCCAGGGTTAGGTTCCGGGGGGGGGTTCAGGGACTGGGAGATTTGGGAGGGGTTCCAGGGGATCCCTGTACCCAGGAAAGGGGGTCCAGGGGTCCCCGGTGGCAAGGAAAGGGATCACAAAGTGGGCAGACCTGGGAATGGAGGGCTCAGGGGTCCTTGATGCAGAGGAAAGGGGGAGCTGGAGGTTGAGAAAAACAGGAATGGGGGTCCAGGGGGTCCAAGGGAAAAGGAAAAAGGGCATCTGAGGGCTAGGAAAGGAAGGATGGATGAGAAACGGAGTGCAAGGAAGGATTGGTACTGGATAAGGGGGTGCAGGGGGGTCCCAGTACCCAGGACTGGAAATTCAGGGGGTCCCGGGGTACAGAATCCCCCCTGGGACCCTCCTGGACCCCCTGAGACCCCCCTGCAGGATGAGCAGGGGGTGAAGAACTGCGGGGATGCAGAGATTTGGGGGTCTGGGGGCATCCAAGAGGCAGGAACCAGAACTGGGAGAGCCGGGAAGAGTCCAAGGTTCAAGGAAGGGACTGGGAGAGGCGGGATGGGGGATCCAGGGGGTCCCTGTGCCCACAAAAGGGGGTCCAGGGGTGCCCGGTGTTAAGGGAAGTGGGGTCTGGGAGCTGGGAAAGGCAGGAATGGGGGTTCAGGGGGTCCCTGGGTCACGGGAAAGGGGGGGCTGGGGCCGGGAGAGGCGGGCGGATCCCGGGGATGCAGCTTGGGAGATGGGAAAGAGACCGAGGGAACGCGGGGGGAGGGGACGGGGGAAAGGGGGAATTCCACGGAGTTCATCTGGATCACTCTGGATCCCCCCTGCGACCCCCATGACCCCCGTCTCAGAAAGCAGCGGGAAAAAAAAGGGGGAGGACACAGAAAGTTGGGAGATCTGGGAGGTCCAAAGACCAAGGAAAAGGTCTAAAGGGTCTGGGGAAAGCGTGATGCCCAAAAATGGGGGACAGGGCGATCCCAGAGCACTGACAGGGGTGCGGGGGGGTGTCCCAGTCCCGGATAAGGGGGTGCAGGGGGGTCCCAGTGTCTGGAAATGGAGATTCAAGGGTGTCCCAGTGCCCAGGAATGGGGGTTCAGGAGATTCTCTTCCCGGAATTCGGGGTTCAAGTGGGTCCCGATGTCCAGAAATGGGTTCTCAAGGGGTGCCAGTGCTCAGGAATGGGGGTTCAGTGGATTCTGATGCCCGGGAATGGCAGTTTGGGGGAGTTTCCCTGCCCAGGAATGGGGCTCAGGGAGTCCCGGTGCCAGATGAAGGGAGACAGAGGGGTCCCAGTACTGGGGAAGGGGATTGAGGGGGATCACAGAACACAAAAAGGGGGTTATGTGTGGTGCCCCTGCCAGGGAATGGACGTTTAGGGGGTTCCGGTTGTCAGAAATGGAAGTTCAGGGGGTCCCGGTGCTCGGGAATTGCGGTTCAGGGGGGTCTCGGTGCCAGATAAGGGGGTACAGGGCGGTCCCGGTGCTGGGGAAGGGGATTGAGGGGGATCAAAGAACCCAAAATGAGGTTCAGGGAGGTCCCGGTGCCTGGAAATTGCGGTTCATGGGTTTCCCGGTTTCGGGGTTCCCACTCACCTTTGGTCGCGACCCTCGGGTCCCCGAGGAGCCCCAAGAGCAGCCCCAGACGCAGCGCTGCAGCCACGGCGCTGCTCCGCTGCAGCCCCACGCTCAGCCCCGGCCCCGCCCACAGCTCTAGCCCCGCGCACAGCCCTAGCCCTGGCCCTGCCCACAGAGCCGCCTCCGGCCCCGCCATTGGCGCCGCTATTTACTCTCCGCCAATGGCAACCCGACATGTCAGTAACGTCACCGGTCGCCGGGCAGATCCCGGTCTCTCAGGTTGGGACCGGAAGCGAAAGGGACCGAGGAGGGCGGGGAGGGGGAGGGGACGGGACGGGACGGGAAGGGAAGGGAAGGGGGAATTCCGGAGAATCCCTCTATATCCCTCTGGATCGCCGCTGCGACCGCCCTGGAGTCCTCTGAGAACCACCTGGGACCCCCTTAAGAAGGCGCCGGGAGTGGAGAACTGGGGGGACAGGGGAATTTGGGGGATCTGGGGGTGCAAAGGTGAAGGAAAAGGGCGGGTCTGGGGTCTGGGAAGGGCGGGAGGGCCGGGCAGGGGGTCTCAGAACACGTGAAGAGGGTCCAGGAGGGAGTCTCAGTCCCGGCTAAGGGGTGCTGGGGGTCCTCATGCCCAGGAACGGAGATTCAGGGGGTCCCCAAGCCCAGGAAAGGGGGGTGAGGGCAATGGGGGCTCCAGGGGGTCCCTGAGCCCAGGAAAGGGGGTGCACGGGTCCCCGCTGTTGAGGAAGGTGGTGGGTGCGGGCTGGGGAAGGCAGGAGTGGGGGGCCAGGATCAAGGAAAAGCGGGGTTGGAGACAGAGGAGACAGAGGAGAGATTAACCCAGAAATTGAGAATTTTTTGCAGATAGGGCTATTAAAAGAGTATCAGTCTGAGCTCAATACTCCTATTTTACCTGTTAAAAAGCCTGATGGATCGTACCAAATAGTACAAGATTTAAGAGCCGTTAATAAGATAACTGAGGATTTACACCCAGTGGTAACCAAACCCTACACTTTGTTAGCCTGTTAACACCTGAATTAACCTAGTTTATGGGTTTAGATTTGAAGGATATCTTCTTTTGCCTCCCTCTCCCTGAAGCCAGCCAGAAAATTTTTGCCTTCGAATGGGAGAATCCCAAGAGTGGGTGTGAGATTCAGCTCACGTGGATGGTGTTACCCTGAAGTTTAGCAGCAGCCCCAGGAGATCTGGAGAACAACTTGCAGGAATGGAGAGTCCTGGGAAGCTCCATCAGAGGAAGGATAGCTGCTGCAGTGTGTAGACGACCTCTGGATAAGTACCCGAACCCAAGAGGCATGTGGGGACTGGGCATAAGCCTCCTGAACGTTCTGGGTACAGGGGTGTACAGGGGTGTAGAGTATCTCAGAAAAAGGCTCAGGCAGCAAAGCAGTCATCTGCCTGGGTTATGAGGTCAGTGCTGAACAAAAGACCCTAAGGCAAGACTGCAAGGAAGCAATATGCCAAACCCCAAAACCCAGACAATCAAGACTGTAAGTTTGTAATTATGAACTGTTAGTTAAACCCCTGCATGCTCTGATCACGGAGGGAAACTGAGATCTCCAGTGGACAAAGAAGAAGCCACATACGCCTTCGACCAGCTGAAGAAGGCCCTCCTGTCAGCTCCAGCTTTGGGACTTCTGGGCGTGCGTAAACCATTTTTTCCCCTTTCTCATGAGAATCAAGGGATTGCTCTGGGAATACTAGCACAAGACTTAGGCCTGTATCAGAGGGCAGTTGCCTACTTTTCCAAACAACTGGATGCAGCAACTAAAGGATGACCAGGGTGTCTCAGAGCCAATGCAGCAGTGGTGCTGGACATCCAGGAAGCAAGGAAATTCACCCTGGGCCAGAAGATGACTGTGCTGGTGTCCCACACACTGTTGGCAGTGGGAAGTAAAGGGGGGACACTGGCTCTCCCCACAGAGGTTCCTGAAATTCCAAGCTATAATGGTGGAACAAGATGATGTAGAAATTGTGGTAACTAACACTGTGAACCCAGCTCCTTTCCTCAGTGGCAGTGTGGGAGAACTGGTGATCCACAATTACCCAGAGACCATCGAAGCTCCCTACTCCAGCTGCCTGGATCTGAAGGACACCCCTCTCGAGGACGCTGAGACCTGGTTTACTGTGGAAACAGCTACACCCTCAGGAGAAAGAGGCATGCTGGGTATGCAGTTACCACCTGCAGAGAGGTAATCTACTACCAACAAACACCTCTGGGCAAAAGGCCGAAATAATTGCCTGGACCCGTACCTTAGGATTAAAAGAAATCAACATTTACACAGACTCAAGGTATGCCTTTGGGGTTGTGCACACACACAGAGTGATCAAAGCATACCAGAAAGTGAGCTCTGGATTGGAAGAATGGAATGAGCTGGCGGATAGACAGGCAAAAGAAGCACCTCAGGGTGAAGTAATTGTTGAAACAGTTGAGGCAACCTTAATTCCAGATGGGCAAATTTCTATTAAAGGTAAGCCAAGGTACAGTAAAAAAGAAAAAAGCTTATTGAGAAAGCAAATGGAAGCAAGAGGGGTGGGCTATTACAGATGAAGGGAAAGGAAGGCTTGTGATCCCCTCTTATATGCTGTGGTCATTAGTGAAAGATGAACATAAAAAAGAACATTGGGGAACAGATGCTTTGTGTAATTATTTGAAAGACAGAATCATAACCAGAAACTTACACAGTACAGTAATTCAGGTAACTCACCAATGTAGCCTTTGCCTCCAAACTAATCCCAAAAATATTCCTAAACCAAAGCTTGGGCAGATGAGGAGATGATATGGACCTGGGCAGCAACGGCAAATTGATTTTTCAGAACTACCCAGGAAAGGGGGTACCAATATCCACTGGTGTTAACAGATACCTTTTCAGGGTGGCCAGAAGCTTTCCCTACAAGAACTGCAAAAGCACAGGAGATAACCAAAGCATTGTCACAAGAAATAATACCAGGTTTTGGAGTCCTAGCCACAATGTCTTCAGACAGGGGGCCACGTTTTCCACAGTATGTCGTGACCCTAAACAAACAACTCAGTAAAGTTGAGAAACATGTGGCTGGGGCTCAAAGCAGAAAATTAGATGGACCAATATATGATGACAGCCTGGGGATTACGTATGTATGAAGTGTTTTGCAGAGGAGACTCTGGAACCGCAGTGGGAGGGAGCATTCTCACCACCTTTACTGCAATCGAGATGAACGAACAAACGCCTGGATCCATCACTCCCGAGTGAAGAAGGCTCCTGAAGGACTTTGGAAAGTTATGTCAGGTGACAACGAACTGAAATTAAAACTTTCTCAGGAAAATTAACAGAGTCTAGGTGAAATGATAAGCATAGTGTAACAATTCCCCAAAGAATAAAAAGGCTTGTAGTTGTAATAGATAATCAATTAAGTGTAGCTTAGAGAGTTTCAGCATTTATGATTATTGCTATAACCACAGCTAATACAGCACCATTTCCATATAATGTAAGTAGTATATAAGTACCAAAGGAAAACCCGTGATTTTGACTCCTGTAAATCTCTGGGTCAGATACTAAAAATTACAAATGCAACTGTGTAAGAAAGAAGAAATGTTTGGGGATGTAAATATGTGTTTGTCCAGGAATCCTAAATACTGTGACAAATGCTTAACTAACTGCTCTGAGTTTAGACTCTGGATACAGAGCAAAAATCTGTCACTTTGAAATGCATCCCACCAACCAGACAACCTTACTTGTGTATGCACAACAAGGTTGTGTCTGTCTTAGCACAGCATGCCCCACTGTAATGGTAGATGAGATTACTGTGAATGAAACTCGGTTTAACTTGTGCATTTATAACTTTGCCAAAATTGAAGGATGACTTCTATCAGGCACCTGTTGTATCATATCAACATATAAAACCAAATTTCACTGCTGTCCAAGAAATATCACCTGTGCCTATAGAGATGAATTTAACTTTTGTTGTCCAAATGATATAATATAATAAACTAAGTAAAATTCTTAGAGAAATTAAACATGAAGGAAAGAGAACTTGGATTACAATACACCATGACACAGAGACTCTATGGAGAGTGTTTAAAAGAACAGAAGAAGGCCCATCCCATCATTGGTGGGAAGTGCTTTTTGGGTGATCACCAACGGCAACCAGCTTGCTCAATACCTCACCTCATCCAATTATTGTTTTGCTTACTTTAGTTGGTATAAGTTTGATTTTGTCTATTATATTACTTGTTTGGAATTGGAGACTGTTGCAGCAAGTTGCAGCTTTAACTTCAATATCGACAGCATATGGTACAGTTTTAAGAGACACCTACCACACAGCTTTACTAGATGAAGAAGAATCTGTATATTATTAAAAGAATTTACTAACCTTGAAGAAGAAGTGGGGAATGAATCGTGATTTTAAAGGGTTAAGATTTTAGCTGAGGGTTAGAACCAATTCATATTGAAGTTAGATACAACAACGTTAGGTTAGTGATTATTAGATGCTTAAGCTAAAGCTAATTATTATATTATGACCTCATTGGTAGAAAGAAGTGGAGCAAGTGACCCATTATAGGAACATACTGAAACCAGTAGAACAACGCCCAGCACCTGGACTCTGTGTTAATCCATCATGAAGCAGAGGACCTTGGATAATGCCAGAGGGTCACAGACACCTGACAAAGACCTTCCTGACTTCATCCCTGGGACCACTGATCCAATTCGAGACCACCAACCCAATTCAAGAGAAGAATTGCGCACATGTGAAGGACTAATAGCTTCATTTTAATACAAAGCGGGCATAGGGGGTGCTGGGGTTATGCATGTGTATTATTTTGAGAAATAAACAGAAGGCAAAGAACCCTATGCGGAGCGGTCACGCATTTTGGGGACAACCCCCGTGCTGCCTGCTGGTGTAATAAACACACAACTTTCTAACTTGAACTAGGTAGGGAATTTTCTTTTTCCGTGATTTTCGGTTTTAACAGTTCAGGGGTCCCCCAGCTCTGGGATCGCCCCTC